GCAGTTAAAGCACATTCACCATGGCCAGCCATATTTAGCTGAAGTTGATTGAATAATTGTTAATATACAAGGTAGTGACAGGTTAATTCTCTCAGTAAGGATTTTGGTTAAATAGTCTAATTCAGCCACATCCTGCCAGTAATTATTCATTTTGTGAGACCTATAAGGCACCACTGAGGTTTATTACTTCCAGGAGGTGGTGTAATACTGAACTGCAACTACCAACACACAGTTTCTGAAACTAGCCTGTGAAGTTTACTATGGCATTGACACACACACACACACATGAAACAATCTGTCGAGACTTAGTAGTGTAGGTGGCAATTAGAAACATAAGACATATGTGTTTTTGTAAATATGTATGAGAATTTGCACATATTTATGAAACTTTATACAAAATCATTCATGGGTGTTGTATAACACAAAATAAACCAATTACTCGTAATGGGATCAGTAGGATATCTTTGAATGAGATTACCGTAATTTGATTAGAATGTTAAAACCTCGAGTTGTGAAGTTAACAGTAGTTACTGGTCTGCAAGGCGTTGTGTGAAGAAACAAGCACATCTGTTGTTTTCATTAATGTGGATGTGAGAATGTTTCACTTTGGACATTAAAACATTTGGTGGATGTGGATTTTATGAAAAGCGTAAAAGTAATCGTTTTTAAAAAAATCTTAAAGCCAGCCCTTGTCATTCATATATTTATCAAGTTTTATCATAAACTCAATTTTTTTCCACATCTGATCAGTGTCTTCAAATAACTCAGCTGCCCAATAAAGCAATAATCACTTGCACCCAGATGTTCCCCAGTTTCCACCTTCTCAACAATTTCTATATTTGAAGTTAACAATAAATCTGAAATAGCATTGTTTCTAGTAGGTTCTATGACTAAATGGTGAAGAAAGCCATCTTGAACGGTTTCCAAAAACCTTTCTTCCTCATCTGTCCAAAAACATCCTTTAGAACTTTTGTAGTGTGTATTCCATACTAATCTTATCAATGAACAAGGTTACGAAATTCTTTATCTTCTATAGAAATAAATATTCTTGTAGAATGTGCCAAAAATAAAATTTTATTGTTTTCGCTTTCATACTGTTAAGCACTTTTTGAGATTTCAGCAACCGCATTTTTTGATGCTTGAATTATATTGCTAATTTATATTCCTAATATTCAGTTTAGTTACGTTTCGAACATAATGTAATGTTTAGGGACAACAAGGGACCTATTGGTCCATCACGCCTGTCTCATCCTCTAAACTAAACTAAAACTATCAAATAAATTCAGAGAAATATAGTTTGTTCTATATATATATATAAAGATACATTAAGAAATCTTTTTAATTTAATTATAAGTTTAATTTTTAATGTTTCAACATTCTTTTTTTTATCATGAAGTGAATATGATGTCTGATAAATCCATTGATGTGATTTTTTTTTGCTTATTTATTTGTTAGTTTTACTCAATCTTTACATTGTGGTAAACTTAACAATAATATTATCCATTCAAAATGTTTGGATATTGGGATAAATGTTGCAGCTCCCCCCCTCTTTCTATACTTGTAATTTCAGAATAGTAATGAGCATGGACCCTGTGATATAATTAGTACTTGTATAGAAATAAATAGGGTTGTTCAAAAAGAGCAATATGATCTCTTTCTTACCAATGTACAGTACATAAGCATGGTAAAGAGACTGACAAAGGACTAACCAGTTTTGGTGTTTCACATAGTGTTATCTACATGAGGGATTTAAGTGCTCGGTCCTCTCTGTATAACTCCAGTGTGAAGAAATAAAAGCAAGTATTTTATATTACTTTTGCTTCATAACTCCTTGTATATGCTCACTTCACTTTACCTACCATTATACTGTTGACAACGTAGTACAAATGTTAGCTTGGTATTAGATTAAAATAATTGTTGCTACTCAACTCAGTTGTTTACGTGTTGGTAAGACAGCTACAGTTATTGTAGCTTAGTGCGAACTGATAATCTAAAGATTATTAAGTTAAACCACCTGATATGAAATATTTTTACTAGCAAATACTGTATTTTAAAATTCAGTTCATATTTTATAAGCTGTTGGTCAGTTTTACCAGTACAGGTTTACACAGGAAAGTACTAATAAATAAAAAGCCCCCCCCCCTCATAACATTGATTCTGTATTACTGTACTTAAAGCCCATAATTCAACTTGCATTACACCTCAAGGGAAATTCAGCCTCCTCTAACAAGTTTCTATATCTGTACACCTTACACGAGTCTTCTGTCAAAATATACCTTAAGATGTAATGGAAACTCTAGTCTCCTGCCAAAACATACACTAAGCCATAACAGGAACACTCGTCTACTGTCAAAACATACACTAAGCCATAACAGGAACACTCGTCTACTGTCAAAACATACACTAAGTCATTACAGAACACTGGTCGCCTGCCAAAACATACACTAAGGTGTAATGGAAACTCTGGACTCCTGCCAAAACCTACACTAAGCCATAACAGGAACACTGGTCTCCTGCCAAAACATACACTAAGCCCTAACAGGTACACTGGACTCCTGCCAAAACATACACTAAGCCCTAACAGGTACACTGGACTCCTGCCAAAACCTACACTAAGCCCTAACAGGTACACTGGTCTCCTGCCAAAACATACACTAAGTTGTATTGGAAACTCTGGACTCCTGCCAAAACTGACACTTAGCCATAACAGGTACACTGGTCTCCTACCAAAACATACACTAAGCCCTAACAGGAAAACTGGTCTCCTGCCAAAACATACACTAAGCCCTAACAGGTACACTGGTCTCCTGCCAAAACATACACTAAGTTGTATTGGAAACTCTGGACTCCTGCCAAAACTGACACTTAGCCATAACAGGTACACTGGTCTCCTACCAAAACATACACTAAGCCCTAACAGATACACTGGTCTCCTGCCAAAACATACAGTAAGCCCTAACAGGTACACTGGTCTCCTGCCTAAACATGCACTAAGACATAATGGGATTAACAGTTATTATGAAACCACTATGTTAACATAGAAAGAAAAGCACTGGATAATGAAACTGTAGGGGAGATAAAAATCTGAATGTAAGTAGCAGTGTAAAGAAGACATTTATTAATTTTAATTCTTATGTTTGGCCAAATAAGCTTCAGCAGAAGGAAGCAACCACCACAAACATATTCAGAACATGCACAAAAACTTATTCAAATAAATGGGTGACCATAAACATATTCATAAAAATTTGAAGACAGATTGAATGGGTAATGAAGAAAACTATTATAAATGTACAATGTTTTCTTCATTACCCATTCGAGCCATCTTTAAACTTCAAATCATCAAATTTAAACACATTCATAATGCAAGAAAACCTTATCACAGAAGCATGACCAACACGAACAGGTTAAAAAACTTATTCAAATACATACTTAGAATACATTAACAGAGATGATTACAGAATCCATAAAAATTCAGAATACAATAAAACTATAAAGAGAGGATCAATACAACAATGAACACAACACACATTCATCATGTATGTATCTAAATACATCAAATTTTTAATGAGGAAGCACATAAACACCAACATTCTGAATACAGTTCTTACATTTTATACACGTCAGTTTCAAACTTCCCCACAAAGACTGAATGATCACAAGAATAAACATGACTTTTTCCCATAAATGGTATAAAATATTTCATTTTTTCTAATGAAGTTTATTTTGCAGTATGCATTTAACATTTGTATTAAAAATATTAAACTTAATGGTAGTAAAAAAAATGGAATCCGAGGAGATATTAAATCCAGCACTTCTTTTAAAATTACACATTTTATAAAACCACAGTAAAAAAAAAAAAAAAGCTAGCAATACATTACTATGTTCATCTAATTGTTATCAAAGATTACATGAGATTACAGCTTATGGTAACATAAAATAAACTCTTTAAACATTTCAAGATGCTCCAATAGCATTACTTTTGAACTGTAGGTATGTACAATTTTTTAAACAAATGCAATTTATAAATGCATAAAAGTTATTTATCCGTAAAGCACCAAATAAACAACAGGTGTTGCAGTACTAATACTGAAACAGAAAAGCTCAAGCTTTCGATGTTCAAATCAAATAGTACTAAATCATTAAATACTTTTCCCTAGGCCAGTTGAACATTTCGATCACTTTTCTCAGAGTCTTCAGACAATGTTGAAGAAAATCCCCAACAACTTAGAAAATAATCTTGAAAAAAATCACTAGTCATTCTGTCCACCTACAAAATAGTCTTGTAGGAAATCCCCGACAACTTAGAAAATAATCTTGAAAAAAATCACTAGTCATTCTGTCCACCTACAAAATAGTCTTGTAGGAAATCCCTGACAACTTAGAAAATAATCTTGAAAAAATCACTAGTCATTCTGTCCACCTACAAAATAGTCTTGTAGAAAATCCCCAGTCATTCTATCAATCTATAAAATGTTTAAGAAAAACACACGCTATCTATCTAGTAAAATGGTTTAAAGAAAAATACCCAGTCACTTTTTCTATCGAGAAAAATGACTTGAAAAACTCCTCAGTCACTCCTTTCATCTAGAAAAATGTTTTAAGAAAATCCCCAATATCTTGAAATTGTTAAGCCTCTAAAGCAACTCGTACAAAATATTCCAAATTTTACAGTTTGTCCTTTCCTCATTCAAATATTTAATGGCTACAACAAAATCTGAAGCAAGAGAAACAAATACGGTATTGATGATTTTGCTAAAGTAACAACTTTTGGATAATTTGAGACTAATGTCATGAGAATAGCTTAGCATTAAAAACACCTCTTGACATCTTACTCATTGTAGACTACAATACCAGAACCAAATACTTGCAGAAACAAAAAAGAATAATTTTCATGAAAAAATTTTTGAGAGTTTTCTTATGGTCAATATTTTCTTGCTTATTGAAAATGATTTCAAAGTTAATATTTTTAAAATAAATGAAACGAAAAAGAATAATATCACTAGGTGTATACAAGTTGTTTATGATAAAATATTAACTTTAAAATAAAAAAATTAGTTTGTTTAATAAACCAACATTAGAATAAAATTAACACTAAATCAAAGTAAATTGATTTTCAACAAGTTTTTCAGTCTTCAAAGTTTCACGTACAGAGTTAACTGATTTCATTTAGCCTAACTATGTACAAACTCAACAATAACCTTTACACGTTTATCGTAAAGTTATGTTACAAAACGCGAAACCCAACAACCCGAGAATTTTCAGAAAACAGACCTTCCTTATTAAAGAGAATGAGATCGAAGGAAGAAATACCAAAATAGCTCAGTTTATTGGATTTCTTATATTGAATTTATCTACTTGTTTGATCCTATGTGTTTTAATAATATCAGGGATAAATGTTGCAATTAATTCTCTGGATATTAAAATTCACTTGATTTAAAAGTTCATCAACAATAACTACCATAAATCTGCAAAGGTTATTACATAAATATATTTTAGGTTTTCTTGAATTTGGGTAATGATTTGTTTCTTCAGTTCAAATTCTCACAAAGTAAAGATAATTTACCAAAACATATTGGTATTTTAAACTTTTTCCTCTTCTGGCACATACTTAAAAAAGGGCCATTCTTTCTCTATTGTACTCTTGTATTATCCACAAATTTTACTTGCGAGTTGTTTGTAAAATTTATTTATGAAGTTTTTATGTTTTTCTTGAATTTGGGTAATGATTTGTTTCTTCAATTAAAATTCTCGCAAAGTAAAGATAATTTACCAAAACATATTGGTATTTTAAACTTTTTCCTCTTCTGGCACATACTTAAAAAAGGGCCATTCTTTCTCTATTGTACTCTTGTATTATCCACAAATTTTACTTGCGAGTTGTTTGTAAAATTGATTTATGAAGTTTTTATTTAATGGTTTAACTTCTTTTAAATAACATTCAAGGATATGTTTGTCAGAGAAAACAAGTAAAAATTAACGATGTTATTGACGCCATTAATAAATGGTGACATCGAATTCTGTGGCTTCGATTGAAGACTGTTGCTCTGATCACATTCGTATCCCACGATAAACAAACCTCAGCAGTACAATCTGTATTTATCACTGACTATTTTCAGCAGCAGGTGGAGATGGAGATCTTATAGACTGTAAGAAAAAATATAAACACTAATTTAAGTTTTACAAAAACTTATTAATCTATCCTTAAATGACAGCAAATAAGAAATGAATTGTGTGCATATCCAGTTTATGTGTTAAAACTACTGGAAAAAATCTTCATTTTGTAATATTTAACTTAAACCTGAATGCACTGAATTCAGAGTTAGTGATGCAGTGTGACTTGCAAGATCTCAAATACATTACTGATGGATTCTATTCTAATTCTACGAGTGCACTTTCCTAGATGTATATTCATAAAAAAACACTAGAATACACATTGCTTTTCTATAATGGTAAGCCTAATTAGTTTGGTATTGGCCTAGTGTCATAGATAGGAGAGTTCAAATACATTGCTATAATTCACATATATTGTAAAACATATTAGAAATTGCTGTGTTTACAATGCAAGTCAGTATGGTCTTTAACGTGACAGTGAAAATACCAATATTACGTCTTTATCCAAAAATGTAGCTTATAATCAATTTCCAAATGATTTTTATCTTGGACATGCTGAAAATAAAAGTCAGAATATATACTTAAAGTAACAGCTATGTACATTCTAGTTTTAAAAATAAAACTTACCAAAAACCTTTTTCTGAGAGCTCTTGTCATCAAAGGAGTAAGTCCCTCACCTGAATCTTGAAGACAGTTTTTATCCGTAAGAGGAGTGCCACCAGGGCTCCTAAAAGAAAATTACTGATTAGAAATTATGAAAGTCTAATATTATAACATAATTAATGTCTATGTTACACTAATTTCTTGAGTGATATGGTAAGTTTATTTGAAAAGTTTAGATTGAATTTTCTAAAAGTTTGATATTTCATGTAAAACATACTTCTAATACTTACTAAAAGCTTGTGAAGATACATTAAGTACATTTGAAATTACAGAATTTATGTTAAACATTAATTCACAAAAATAAATATGTGTATACTGGTCTTATTCGTTCTCTCTCTCTCTTTTTAAAACAACTCGTGAAATATGAAGAGATGATATTAACTTCCACAGTAAACAATGTTTTTCTATCAGTCTCATCAGTACACGGTTTTGCTTTTACACACACAGATAATACTATAACAAGCACAACTACCTTCATACAATAAGATAGCATAAACAGAACCCCAAAAGGTGCATGACACAACAACACAAGCACAATTATTATTGAACAATAAGATAGCATTAACAGAACCTAAAAAAAAACAGACAGCTCTACAACGAACACAAGCACAATTATTATTAAACAATAAGATAGCATTAACAGAACCTCAAAAGGTACACGACACTACAACATAAAGAACAATTATTATTGAACAATAAGATAGCATTAACAGAACCTAAAAAAAAACAGTTATTTCTACAACAAACACAAGTACATCTGTTTAGATTGTCACACACACACCCCTAAAATCAAAATCATGAAAGTATGTCCTGTTAATATTACAATAAAAGATTTTAAAATAATGCGTGAGACTTGTAGGTTAATACATAATTCTACATTCTGATGTAACGTAGAAAAATAAACAATGTAGTTTATTATTACATAGAGTCTACATTTCATTTCAATGCAGAACAAGTTCTTACCTATGCACATCAACTTTTTTTAGAGTGCTTCGATGTTTATGAAGCTCTTCTTTAGAAGGTCTATAGCTGAAAGAAAAAAAAACACATAATGACCTCAAACAGCATCAAGTTTATGTTGATAAATGGGTTTATCATCATGGTTTTAACTATTTTTCCATGTTAGTCTTAAAGTTTTCTAATACAGACTTTTGAAATTGAAATTAAATACAGTTGAGGTTACGGAAAAATTTCCTCCCCTTCATTTACTTGAATTGGTGACTTCTCGTGTATCAAGTCCAGCACATCTACAAAAATAATCTACATGACAACCTCTAATTTCTAACATTAAAAAGGATTATTAATAATGATCAATTATTTTCATTAACTTGTTTACCAAGTTATGAAATTATAACAAATATTCAAACCTTAAAAAAACAAAATATTTAAAAAGTTAATTTTAGGCACTCAGTAGTTTTTTCACTATTGTTTCTTTTGCATTAGAGAAATAAACACTACAATAAGTTTTAAACGAAACATACATTATGAAGCTTGTAACCATCATCAGCACACCTGGAGACCACGAGGGTCCCAACAACTTACTCGGTTATATATCTTCTTACATAATCATTACAAATTGATATCAATTCATGTAATTGTCAAGCAGAAATCCTGGATCAATATTGTTTTTGAAAAATGGCAGATGGAGTATGTAGCTATTTATCTGGGGTCCACATGGACCCCATATTATCATTAACGATCATTATATAATCTTAGTAACTAAGGTTATAAAATATCCTTTAATCTTAACATTTTTATAAGCAATATAAGTTATCTAAAAAAGCTGTTTTGATGGAAGTACTTCAGCATATTTATTTTTGACAAACCTTCTTGTCTAGTGTTAAATTTATAGGCTTAATAAGACTATACGCAATTTTTTAACATAAAAAATATACAAACATAAGTACATATTTTCTGTTAAATGGAAGTATTATAATCAAAGTATTAAAATTTCTTTTAAATTTCCATTAAGAATTCTAGAAATGATGAGCAAGACATGCAAAAAAAAAATCATTCTCCGAAATGCAAAAGCATGTAACTATATAACATAGACATGGTTACCATCATGCAATTAAAAGGAGGTTTTGAAACGAACAGCTCCATACACGCATTTCAAAGAACATGGAACTGCTTTCCTCTACTTGTTGAAAACATATTTCCCCACCCCTCTTACTGCCATCTAATGAAGGTTACTCTTACATAAGTTGAGTCTCCTCATGTATACATGTTGTTGAGAAAGAAACCACACAGCTAATAAACATGCGTATGTTTTAGTAACACTTTATATATACATAGTCAATTTGTTCTTGTGAAAAGTCCAAATTATGAATTATTAAATTGAAGTTAGTACATGGTCCATTGTTTTACAAGGTTACAATACTTGATGTTCATTGTTGCAATTTGGACCATTTGGCCTTATTTCATGGCCTATGCACTAGCTTAGACCATAACTGTTTTATTCATTAAATTCATTACATAGAGATGGGTAGCAAACCAGTTTTTCTTCAATCCTAAATCCTCCTAATTTCAGGTATGGTTTCCATGACAACAATTGGATAATTGTGAGAAAAGTGTGAAAATCACCCATAATGTATGAACGCCTAAGATAATTAATTTTTTCTGTAACACAAACACTCCGTCTCAAACTGTCATGAAAGAAAACCGGTTTATCCTATATTAATGAAAGTAGAAACGAGAATGCTATCGTATTAAACCACCCAACTCGTTTCCTTTCCTTGAAACTTAATGAACTTGTCTCCCAAAAGGGATTAATTTTTTGGGAAGCTATTTTAGATATTCTTTTGTATTTTGCAAAACAAAAGTGAATGCTAGCTTAAACACTGGTCCTGGGTACAAGCCTTGGTCCTTAAGTCTTTCTTCACTTATTAACTTTATCACATAAAATTTAATGTTATAATAAATAAATAGAAGAGAAAACTAATTACTTGCGTAAAATAACAAAGCTGAGACCAATTGGCTTCATGATACTCAATTGTAAGTATATGTAGAGACATTGTTAACTAGAAGTATCTAGTAATATATGTGATAGTCAAGTTAATATTTTTGGGGGTATGTTTAACAAGAGGTGAATAAATATCAATATTGGCAATGTAGTAAAAAAAATGTGTATGCTCTGAACACACTGGATTTAACAGCAAAACTGAAAAATCTGAAATAGTCATAGTAAAATTAAAGAAGTGGATCATAAGCATCTTGTTGTCACCTTCACAAATTTCCCAGAATTATGTGCATTATAATTAAGCATTCCCTAATGTCTAGCTCAGGGATTCTCAACTTTTCCTCCATCATTAACCCCCTCGGCTTGATGTATTTCTCCATTTACCCCCTTACTTCCATACAAAAAATTCATAGCCATCATAAAGGGACAGAAAAACAAGGTCAGAAAAAAAAATATTATTCAGGTTTTGCACAAAAATAGCACACACACACACACATTCTTAGCATTCTCTCTCTCTCTCTCTCACACACACACATTCTTAGCATTCTCTCTCTCTCACACACACACACACACACACACATTTTACAAAATGAAATTTAATTGAATTATTATTCAATCATCATTGGTGTTTATAAGTGTCTTTAAGTTTTACCAATACTATCATTCAGTGGTATTGGTGTTTATAAGTGTCTTTAAGTTTTACCAATAGGAACATTCAGTGGTATTGGTGTTTATAAGTGTCTTTAAGTATTACCAATACTAACATTCAGTGGTATTGGTGTTTCGAAGTGTGTCTTCAAGTATTACCTATAGTAACATTCAGTAGTTTTGGTGTTTCGAAGTGTGTCTTTAAGTATTATCAAAAGGACATTCAGTGGTATTGGTGTTTCGAAGTGTGTCTTTAAGTTTTACCAATAGGAACATTCAGTGGTATTGGTGTTTCTAAATGTGTCTTTAAGTATTACCAAAAGGACATTCAGTGGTATTGGTGTTTCTAAATGTGTCTTTAAGTATTACCAAAAGGACATTCAGTGGTATTGGTGTTTCTAAATGTGTCTTTAAGTATTACCAAAAGGACATTCAGTGGTATTGGTGTTTCGAAGTGTGTCTTCAAGTATTACCTATAGTAACATTCAGTAGTTTTGGTGTTTCTAAGTGTGTCTTTAAGTTTTGACAATAGGAACATTCAGTGGTATTGGTGTTTCTAAGTGTGTCTCTAGGTATTACCAATAGTAACATTCAGTGGTATTGGTGTTTCTAAGTGTATCTTTAAGTTTCACTAGTACTGGAAGTTTTAGCGATATAAAAGTAACATCAAGATTTTAATGAAGATGACGTATAATTCGGATGTAGTTATATTCCACCAATGACTATTCTGTAGAAATGGTTTAGTTGTAAGAAAATGTATGGACTCCCATTTCTGTATGTCCAACAAACCCTAAACCTCGTTACGGGGAGGATGTGTCGTTGTGAAACCTAAATCAAAGTTGTAGCTTTAATTATAAAATAAATATACATGAAATTATTCTTCATTTAACGGTTTTAATGCTGATAATATATCATCTATCATTCAGTTTTAAAAATCTTTTAATTCTGTCATTGGTTACAGAAATAGTAATAATGATTATTAGGAGTTTTATGACTAGAGTTAGTTACCCTAACACGTGATATATATTACATTTGAACAGTTTGTCTTTAATGGTCATGGTTTAATTTCTGTTAGCTGTGTATTTGTGTAAACGGACAATGCAGAACAAGACTCGACTAGAACTGGCAGACTACGAGGCAGAAAACCTGGCTAGGCTTCAGAAAATGTTCTCTCGGAAATGGGAATTTATATACATGCAGGCAGAAGCACAAGCCAAGTAAGTTGTTAGTTTATCATATTAAAACTTATTATACATGCAGGCAGAAGCACAAGCCAAGTAAGTTGTTAGTTTATCATATTAAAACTTATTATACATACAGGCAGAAGCACAAGCCAAGTAAGTTGTTAGTTTATCATATTAAAACTTATTATACATGCAGGCAGAAGCACAAGCCAAGTATTTGTTAGTTTATCATATTAAAACTTATTATACATGCAGGCAGAAGCACAAGCCAAGTAAGTTGTTAGTTTATCATATTAAAACTTATCATACATGCAGGCAGAAGCACAAGCCAAGTAAGTTGTTAGTTTATCATATTAAAACTTATTATTCGTTAAATAAAAACTCCTGAGCCTGTCTTTTGAGAATTTATGTTTGTTACCTAGGCTACGTCACGTATTTATCGTTGCCCTGGAAACAATAGAACTGCATCTGATGATAATCTCACCCCGCCACTCTGAAATATGAGTAGTTTATCAGATTAGTTGATAGGAAGAAGATGGCAAACTAAATTGTAATTTATTTAGTTTCTTGTAACCGAATAAGAGAATTTTAGACATAATAACTTGTTTTCCTTCAATAAATATTGGGTCTTCCGTCAAATATAAACCAGGGCCCATTTCTACCGAAATATCATCTCATTAATTTCCAGCTTAAGCTGCTACAGGAAACTGGAATATTTTGAATGTGATCGTGCAAGTAATATCTTGTAGTTTGACGTCTCTATTACCTCTACGTATATTGTGTCTCACTGTCTACGTAATCTGTAGTGTAATTTGATCAAACAAAGAAATATTATGCATCTATTACTTCCACAAAAAAAATAGTTACGTTTTATCGTAGATTTCACCGTATCTCATTAATTAAAACCGGAAAAAATGGCGTAAGTTGGCTCTCTGGTATCACCGTATCTCATTAATTAAAACCGGAAAAAATAGGCGTAAGTTGGCCCTCTGGTATCACCGTATCTCATTAATTAAAACCGGAAAAAAGGCGTAAGTTGGCCCTCTGGTATCACCGTATCTCATTAATTAAAACCGGAAAAAAAGGCGTAAGTTGGCCCTCTGGTATTACCGTATGTCATTAATTAAAACTGGAAAAAAGGCGTAAGTTGGCCCTCTGGTATCACCGTATCTCATTAATTAAAACCGGAAAAAAGGCGTAAGTTGGCCCTCTGGTAGAGCTTTATGTTACGAAAATGG